TATGTTTTTGTGTCTTCAAGCAGTCAATAACTGTAAATTAAAAGTGTGAGAATGTCTTAATGGACTATATGATGGAATTGACACAGATGTTTTTAACTGGTTCCCCTGGCCATCAACATTTTTTATACTATTTATTATAGGTTAAAAACCTAACAGAAGAGATGGCAGTTTTGGATGAAAATATTGTAAAGTTAACTAAGGAGAAGAAAGCCCTCCAAGAGGCTCATCAACAAGCTCTAGATGACTTACAGGCAGAGGAGGACAAAGTCAACACACTCACTAAAGCCAAAATCAAACTGGAACAGCAAGTGGACGATGTGAGAAAACTTATCCCAGTGGTCCTGGACCACAGTTAGCAAAACAATTGTTTGAGCCTAAGTCTACAACCAAGTGGAACCTGTACATATTGAATTCAGATGACTCTCCTGGCAGCCTGAATTCGTGCCTAGAAACCAGCAAATCAAAAGAAAGGGAGGGGACAGGAGACGTTTTGGGGAAAAGTATACATTAAGATCTTTGAACTGGAAGTGAATTCCAATATGGAATCCTTATACCTGCAGGAAAATAGTACAGGAATAAGGCTATCTCTAGTTTTGCACTGATTACTTGAGCACAGAGGGGGATTTTTCTTGCTTCTGTCTTCCCAGCCCTATCAGTATATAAACTAGGGGTGGGGTGGGAACATGTAAATGTTTATATCTCTGCTGGCAATTGTCCAGTCCCTCCTAGGAAAGCTCACTTTGCAGTCTGTGAATTCTGAGTTAAACACAAGTAATGACTATCATTTATAACTAGACTGGGACTATTATTATGCTTGTGTTTGCAGTTGGAAGGCTCTTTGGAACAGGAGAAGAAAATCCGCATGGATCTGGAAAGAGCCAAGAGGAAGTTAGAAGGGGACTTGAAACTTGCCCAGGAATCCATAATGGATCTAGAAAATGATAAACAACAACTGGATGAAAAGCTGAAGAAGTATGAACTGTGTACACTCTAGAAGCACGTAAAATTTATGTTTAAAAGGTGGCCTTTTAATTAAACTGCCTCTACTGTTCCTTTTCAGGAAGGACTTTGAGTATAGCCAGCTGCAAAGCAAAATTGAAGATGAACAAAATTTGGCCATCCAGCTACAAAAGAAGATCAAAGAACTGCAGGCATGAGTTGTTTTTCCTCTATACTTAAGTTTTCA